GCGAACGTGAAGTTGCTCAATACCTCGGCCCTAATGATTAGAATCGGGCTTCGCGGTGTGCGACAAAAGTCAGTGAGCAGCAAAGCAGATGACTGTTGTGTTTCAGAAACCTTCAGCTGATCTGAGCGAAGCGTCCAACTCAGAATCGGGTTTGGGGTTAGGGTTTAGGGTTTATAGCTAAATGTGGGACTACACGGGGCTGCTGCTGTTCCTAGTTCTCCCCACCCGTACATGTCACTAACCCTGGATGTGGCCTAACTAGGTGGTAAACGCATTCTTGGGACGTCCCTAAACCCTAAACCCTAAACCCTAAACCCACTTCGCACTACTCGGCTAATCTCGGTGAGCTCTCTGACAACTTACTATCCGACTAGGCGGCAACTGCTTATTGGCCAAGTAGATCTGCTTCTCCAATCTGTATGGAAACTCACAGGAAATGCTACCTTGCAGCCATTTAGGGTTCAAAGAGGAACGAAGCACAGCGAAGCGTAGGGCTTTGTCAGCTTCAGCCGCGGGGCTGGATGAGAGTTTAGGGTTTATGGTTGACGGTTTGGGGTTTAGGTTTAGGGTTTAAAGGTTTAAGGTTTAGGGTTTAGGGGTCTTGAGCTTAGGGTTGACTTTTTGGGGTTTAGGTTTAGGGTTAAGGGGTTAGGGTTTGGGGTTTAAGGTGTGCAGGGTGTCGGGTTTAGGGTTTGAGGCTTACTACAAGGATGATTACTACCCGGACTTGCCATAAGGATTGCTAGAAGAGTGGGGTGAGATTTCCCAGTCATTCTCTCTGATGCTTTGTGCGACAGAATATATACGATAAAATCTTAGATTGTACTGTATAATATATCCTTTAATATAGTATAGTGTACTATGGTATACTCCATATCTCATGTACATACACCTATGTATAAACACGGGTCTTTGGCCTGTAGTGGAATCTGCCTTCGGCCACCAGCTCCCTAAACCCAAAACCCTAAACCCTAAACCTAAACCCTAAACCCTAAACCCTAAACCCTAAACCCTAAACCCTAAACCCTAAACTCTATATCCTAAACCCTAAACCCTAAACTACAAAAGTGGACCCCGACACAGTTCTGAGACCAGGGAACAGGATGAGGCCAAGCGCCCAGACATCCCGCGCTGGACTCTTCAAACCTTGAAGAGGCCAAGGTTCAGTATGAGTGCTCAAGGTCTTGGGGTTTAAAAACCCTAAACCCTAAACCCTAAACCCTAAAGATTAGGGGTGCTATACCTGAACCCTACAAATGCACATTCAGGGGTCCTGAGTATGATTTATTTTTATAGGAACTTGCAAAAGTAGGTGTTATAGGGTTAAGGGAACTACTTCCGGGCTTCCTCGAACAAGGGTTATTTGCGGCTGGAGGCTAGTTGGCATTAAAGGGTGTAGTTTAGGGCTATTCTTCATGCAGCAGATTAAGAGTTTACACTTAACTACTCAACCGACAACAATGCAGCTCAAACCGACAAGCACCTGCTGTTGCACAGGCCAAGACGTCGCTTTTTGCAGGTTAGGCACCTTTTACGTCGTTGCGGAAGACCTGCCGTGCCCACCAGAAACTACCCAGACCCTGGATTGTAAGCCAAATCTTGCTTTGGTATCGTGCTTTGCATTCGTTAGCTTCGAATTTAGCTATGCAGCAGGTTGACCTCGCCCACATTCCACAAAACTGCATCACAGTCTGATGCCCAGGAAACAATGACACTGAAACCTAGCGTCCCTGCCATTTATCCTTTATGCCAGCACAAGCAGACACGGACTACGAAGCAAGTAAGTCGCCGTGCATCGGAATGTGGTGAAGGAAATCGTTGTCAACTGAAACCGCTGTTGGAAAGCACACCATCAGTCTTTCCAAGATTTAGAGCTATAATAAGGGCTAGCCTTAATACATCGCTCAAATAACCTACTTCCTATGACTTGTTACCTAAACCCTAAACCCTAAACAATGCAAGCATCAGAAGCATGCTTGTGTCATGTGCACACAGACAAGTTCGGAGTGACATGAGTTTGATGTTCGAGGCAGTAGCCGCCAGGGAAAAAGATCGGCCTTTGCAAGCGCCACGGCCCAGCAACCCTTCAGGTGGCCCGACCCCCGTCTGACTGAGCATCCGAGTGCCCTGCAGGTGCCTAGCACTTGCATGGTAGCGGAGCCTTCAAGGCTCATAGATCCAGGGACCCAGAATTGACTCCCTGTTGCAGCGCCGCAGGGAGATGTCAAGTGCTAGCACGGCAGAAGGAATCAGTCGCACCAAAGATGGTGTACCAGGATGGGACGGTGACGCAGCCACCTTCCAGGAGTACGTGGAGGCTTCGTTTGTCGGTGGCGTGGACCGATTGTTACAGTTTCTACGAGAGGGGCTGGGACAGCCCCGCATTCCTGAGCTGACAGATCACCTCTTGAAGTTCTTCAAGCACAGCCGTCGCCGACAGGGCGAGTCGATCAACAGCTATGTGGCGCGGAAGATGGAAATATATCTTCGAGCTCAACAAGCTATGAAGCGGTTGGGGCCGCTTCATCAGAAAGCTACGACAGTGGAGACACGACCACAAGACTGGTCGTATCATCGACCGGGATGGTGGCAGGACAGCTACTACGATCGACCATGGTGGTATGACAGCTGGAATGATAGATCGTTGGCACGCGGCGAGACCTCGAATGCCGCGACGTCGCCCGATGACGAGTCGGAGGAAGGAAGTACGGAGGCGACCAATGGTCGCCGGGAAAGCAGTGCCAGCGAGAGCACCTGGAGCCACTCGGGTTGGGCCCGAGGAACTTCGTGGGGCTACACAGACTGGAATCCGTGGGGCTACGAGTGGAGCCGGGGCACGGCCTACGACCCGCCGGGCCACCAAGGCCCCTGCCGGAACTGATGCCGGACTTCGTGCAAGGATGGTTGTTGTTGCAAGACTGCAATCTGGATGCGGCGGAGCGCAACCTTATCACTACGGCAGCGGGCGGAGACTTAAGTCTGAATCACCGGGCGCAGTTCCCGGATACGGAGATGAAGCGCCGCGACGCAGGGCGCAAGCAGCGTGGCTACCTCGGCTCGATCCCGGAGGATGATGACGAGGACCTCTACGAGGACCGCGAGGAGCTCAGCTTCGTCGCGGAAGAGGACCTGACCGAGGAGGGCATGGCAATGTGGGCGTCGGCTTCGGAGGAAGCCGAGACGGCATACGCGGCCTACCAACAGGCGAGGCGTGCGCTGCGCGAGGCCAGACAGAAGCAGCATTCGGTGAAGATGAGTCGCCAGTACTACAAGCCCGATACTGGAGGACGCCGCGATGACTCGCGCATAGTCTGCATGAGCTGCGGAAAAATGGGTCACCGAAAGGCAAACTGCCCACAGCAAACATCAGCTCCCGCGAGAAAGGAACCAGAGTCTGCTCCCTGCGCGCGCTACGCCAGCGAGGCCGAGCACGAGGTGGAGCCAGAGTTGGCCTTGGGAATGAACGTTCCTACGGCCGAGGCTCTCCCAGGCAAGTGTGTGGTGGATTGTGGAGCAACCCGGTCCATTGCTTCCATCAAGGTGCTGGAGCAGCTGATGAGTCAGAACATCGCCAAACAGGGCGACTCCGGAGTGAAGCAGGTGGACCTTCAGGACAAGCCAGTCTTCAACTTCGGAAACTCCAGCGAGAATCAATGTTCCAGAACCGCAGAAATGCGGCTACAAGCCGGAGCCCGAGAAGGACGACTCCGGATTCATGCCCTGGACATGGGGCAAGGGCCCATTCTCCTCTCCATAGCATCCCTACGAGCCCTGGGTGCTATCATAGACTTCCAGGAAGATGAGACATTCCATGTATTCGACCCGAAATTCGATGTATTTGGCCTGTGCCACCGAGGAAAAACAAATCGAGAAGACGTTGCTTTTGGCTCAAAACACAGGCAACATTTGTCTGTTCGCCTCAGGAAAAAATACTGCCCCCGAGATTAAAAAGATCGAAGATGTTGCTTTTGGCTCAGAAAACAGGCAACATTTGTCTGTTCGCCTCAGGAAAAATACTGCCCCCGAAATTAAAAAGATCGAGAAGACGTTGCTTTTGGCTCAGAACACAGGCAACATTTGTCTGTTCGCCTCAGGAAAAATACTGCCCCCGAAATTCAAAAGATCGAGAAGACGTTGCTTTTG